AGGTTAAGTAACTCTTCTAAAGTCACACAACTATTGAGTGGCAGAGCTGGCATGTAAATTCAGGCCATCTGATTCTGTGACCCCAGCTCTATCTTCCATACTCTATTGATGCCATCCCATCTGCTTACAACCATTAAGAGAGCTGGCTATTCTAGGTTTCTTCCTGTCCTTAGGATAAAGTCCAACTCTAATACCACCCTTTTGTTCTTACTTAATCTGGCCACAGCTTACATTTCCAGAGCACACCTTTCCCATGTGCGTTCTCTCTGTCTCTGTCTGTCTCTGTGTGCCTTGCTCTCTTTATCCCTTTTCTTTTTCTGTCTTCTTGCTCTTCTCTTTCTTTTTTTGCTGTCTAATTTGCCGCACTAACTCTCTCTAATGCCTTTGCATACACTTTCCTCTCTCCTGGAATACTGGTATTCTACTTCTCTATCTCCTTCTTTTCCGTCTCCTTTCACATCTAGGAAGTTTTACCAGTTTTAAGTCCTTCTGATTTGCTTCTCTCTGCTTTGTCCCGCCAAGCTCTGTGATGACAGAAGCTCATTGGTTCTTTAGTGACTGAAAGAGTTCTTAGAGTTCCTTGTTGAATGAGTATTTGCCAAGCTGATGACCAAATGATATTTATAACCCCGACATTTATATACATGTGCTCATTCTGAGTATATTAAGTAAATAATAATTAAATGATTATTGCTAGTTCTGGTATATTATATGTATATTCATATATACAGCCGTTTTTACATCGAATCTATTAACTTATATCAGTAGCAATGATCTTCCAATATTTCTTAGTAGCTTTCGATGGCAAAAAGCAATAACTTAGGAACATTTAAATTTCTGCAAAGACTTTAAGTTTAAAATCTTGAATCACTAAAAGTCTTATATGAAATATATGTTCAAAATTATGATAACAGCTAAAGCAGTGGTTCTCAACCTGTGGGTCATGACCCGTTTGGCGGTCGAACGACCCTTTCACAGGGGCCGCCTATGACCATCCTGCATATCAGATATTTACATTATGATTCATAACACTAGCAATATTACAGATATGAAGTAGCAACGAAAATAATTTTAACGTTGGATCACAACATGAGGAACTGTATTTAAAGGGCCAGAAGGTTGAGAACCACTGAGCTAAAGGAATAGAGCAAGAACACATTAGAGGAAAAAAACTGGCAAAATTTGCCAATGTACTATGTTGGGAAGGAACAGAAAAAAATCAGAATCAAAATAGTATCTTCTTGGTTAGTGAGCCTGTAATGTTTCAATAACCAGAAAAGTACAATTTTTAGGGTTTAGTATAGATAAAGCATATTATCTGTGTAACCATTTGGAATTCACTGAATTCCGAGAGGCTTCCTCTGAAAGGGCATTAAGAGAACTGAACTGTCAGAAGTGGTGCCTGTGACAGGTGTTAATAGACTGTCATGCATTATGTGTAAAATCAACAGTGAAAATGCTGATGTTTTTCCACATTCTGAGCACAGCCTTCATTATACTGGTGTTACATTGGCCCAAAGAGCTTAACTAGTAGACGCTTGTGCCGTTCCATTTTCACCGCTACATGCTGTCTTTGTCTCTAATGCCCATTGCTTCATGCCTGATTATTTCATCAATTTTCCATATCATATTTGGCTCCTACGCATGGGCGTGCAGTGATTAGACTCTTCAGCCTTGATGGAAGGCTTTCTTCCATTCATTCCATTCATTTCAGCAGTCATGGTGTTTATTCCCTCCACACGCCCTTCACATTCATCCACCAAATTCCAGTTTCTAGTCCTGGGTTTAAGGCCATTTTATTTGCTAATGCGTGTTCTTTACTTTCTTTGGAATGCATTTCATATTTCACCTCATTACTTGTGCTTTGGTTTATACTTGGTCAGTTTTATACTTATCTGTTGAATGAATATATCTCTTCTAAGATTATAGGCAAGGACAATATTTTCTAAGTCTTATGTATCTCTCCAAAATACCTAGTTTATATGTTAGGTTTTAGGTTAAAGTATGTCAGAAAATAGAAAATATATTTAAGAACATTTTGAAAAAATTTCACTCTGAAAGCTCCCTTAGGAACTCATTCTAATGAAATTATTGATATTTAGCCTGAGTCCATGGCGTTGTGGCAGATCTAAAAAAAAACAAAACTTCCCTGTGTAGTAATGGAAAATAACAGATTTATCACTGTCTTCAATTAAAAAACAATCACATTGGTAGTCCCTGTGTGTGACATGTGACTTTTCCTCCTTGTGTTACCTATTTTTTTAAAAAGAATAAATTTAATTATGAACATTTTAAATTGATTTTTCACTCAAAATCTGTAAGCAAAGTGTTAGCTCATTCAAATATATCAACATGTAGGAAAAGGTTTTATGACTTTTTTTTGTGCCCCTATAATAAAAAGGAGAAATTTTACATATGTTCTGCCTTCTCTTGCAGTGGTTTATGAAGTTTTCATTTAAAATCTTGTGTCTAACTCCAAGTTACAGTGGTCACAACATCACAGAAGCATGAGAATTTAATGGGCTCCATCTCCCATTATGCAGGGCTGAGGTTTAACCAATTATTTCTCAAACTAGCATTTGTAATGTGCCATTCTCTAGTTCACTGATAATACAGAAAGGCTAAGGGCTAGTGAATTATGTATAAGTAGAAACCAATCACAATCTAAGTAGAGTAGCCACAGTGTTTTAAAGACTAGATGAGATAGTAAGTTTTGTGTAAAGGACTGTAAACATAAATTAGACTCTTCCTAGTCATTAATGAAGCAGTTCTTCAGACAGTAAAAGCATCTTATGAGACCATTGTTTTATTTGCTAGTTTTTGGGTTAAAGCCCTCATTAGCTGATGGTCAGGTACTTTGAGGAGTAATTTCATTAACATTTTTTTCATGTTTTTACTGTGGACTTGATTTGTATCATGTAAAGTAAGTGTGCTACAGCTATCATGCATTAAAGTGTATGTGATTGGGCTCTTACATTTTATTTCTTTGAAGTATAAATTCTATATTTGTCTTTGTTAAAAAGTTTTTATGTGTGCAGTAATTTTTTTTTTTTTGATGGCATATACTGTGCCTTTTTTTGTTTTTTATTCAGTTTTGCACTTGGTGATTTAAGACCTGGAATGTTGGTTTTTGAACTCTGATTTCTATTTTTTGATTGTAGTTTACAGAGTATGTCTGTGAAGAGAAAGTTGACATGTGGGCATAATGATTTAAGAAATGCAATTGAGAAGTATCAAGTGTAGCGATGAGATCAGCTGCTTTTGAAATGAGCTGAGATTGTCTGCTCTAACTATATGGGAATGTGTGAAGACCCAAATTTCAGGACAGAGATGTGTGGCACTTTGTTGTAAATCAGAAAGCTGAAGTGCAATTGATAGTCGCATACCTCGTCAGAAGAAGACTGTTGCCAGAGAGAGGTTACACATACCTGAACCTGGGCACAAAGGGGACTCTGAAAATACAAATCTATCAGTGTTTACCTGGCACTGTCCCAATAAGGAATAGTGACTAAACCCAATAGTCATGGATAGCAGTTATTAGAGAAACATTTTTTTCTTAATTCATTTGAATTTTTTTCCCCTTCTGTGCCATCAAAACAACTTTCTGTAAGGTCTTTAATGACTTGTCCCTAAATCCAGTAGATGCTTCTGTCTCTTATCTGTGTGTCTCTCATCCAAGTGCCCTCCATTCAGCATCGGAGGTGACCCCCTCCTCTTCCCTCCTCCCTAATGTTTCACTGTTTCCTTCCGAGTCTTACATTCAATACAGTTGTAAAATCTGGTATTATAACATGTTTATAATTTTATATCCTGTTTAATACATTGCATTTTCACTTGAACTTTAGTGGCTGTTATATGGATATATGATAATCTTAAAAACCATAAAAGATTATGCCCTGGCCAGTATGGCTCATTGGTGCCATCCCATGCACCAAAAGATTGCGGGTTTGATTCCTGGTCAGGGCACATGCCTGGGTTGTGGGCTTTGTCCCCAGTAGGGGTCGTGCAGAAGGCACCTGATCGATGTTCCCTTCCGACATCAATGTTTCTTTCCTCCTCCCTTCATCTCTAAAAATCAATAAAAATATTTTAAACTATAAAAGATTATAAGAGAAATGTTCATTTTAGAAAACTTCTGCCATGGTGTATTGTACTAAAATAATTTTGAAATTGTATGTAAGGAAGTGGAATAGTAGACAATAGTTGTATAGTTTTTAGAATTTACTGATCAATGAAAGACTAATGATGGGCAATAGTGGATATTACTGTTAATGAACAAGGAAAACGCGGCCTTAAGCCAAGTCATTGGACCGTCCTCTGTCTGCTCGTCTTTGAAATAGCAGCTATACCGTGTGTAAAGTCTCCTCCGGTGTGATATTCTGTGACCTGTGAATTAGATAGTATGTGGTGAGAAGTCTGCTTGTTCTCTGAACCATTCCAGTGTGTTCTGTGATGGTGTGGTTATTACTGAGTGTAGTGTGCTTACCTACTAAAGTTCATTTAAAAAGTCACTAATTTAAGTTGTTTGTCATGTGGCATTGGTTTTCCTTCCAGTGGCTCCAACTTCCTATCCTGTGAATTTATTTGATTTCTGATCTCTGTGTTTACTGATATAGATGATAGAGCCTATAATTGCTACAGTAAATGATTTTTATTTGCATTTGAAAACATCTTACACATAGTGATTAATGATTTAAAATATTAATATGAACACAAGAATACAGAGCTGTGAAAAAAATTCATGTGTAAGTTAACAATTTATTCAACTAAAAATACCCCCTGTGATTGGTGTCAAATTGAAGTTTCACCTCTTTTTTTCCGTTGAATTCAGCTGCGTGTGCATACTTAATCCTTATAGTTTATGGGAATTCTGAGTCATTTCTTTAGTAAAAATAATGTACTGTTAAGGAAGTTGAAAATTTATATTGCTGGTGCATTCCTTTAGTTAAGAATCAAATCATATGTTTTATGTACTTAATCCACTGTACTTATTTTACCAGTAACATATTTGGTCTGCGACCTGTGGATTATGCAGACAGTAAGACTATGAAATCACTATTGCTGCCGCCAGAGAAGAATGAATCATCACCCACTCACCATTGCTCAGTAGTAAGTGTGGATTTAGCTTTGGGAAATTTATATCTTTTACTGAAATTGTTTATGAAAGAAGCATAATTAAAAAATTTCCAGTTAGCAAATTTCTTTTCATTCATAAAACAATTATTGAGCACTTCTTGTGTATTAGCTCTTGTGAATTTGAAGACATAATTGGAATAAATGCATCAACAAATATTTGTTGAACCCACCCCCTCTATATTGTAGGCAGCATTTATCTGTAGTGAATATAATTGATATAACTCTTATTCTCAAGGAGCGTACATTTTAGTGGGAGATAGGAAACATTGTAAATGTATAAGCTAATCTAAATAAAATAATCCACCATCGTTGCCCACTGTAATCAGCTATACAGAGTGAGTGTGGCAGTCCCAATATAAGGAACTGCTGCTCAGAGACATGGAAGCATAAAGACCTTGGAAATCTGAGAAACTCGAGTTTAGTGTGAGAGGAGCGTAAGGTGTGTAAAAGAGGAATTGACAGTGAAGAGCTAGGTTGGGATAAGATTGTGAAAAGCCTTGAATTCCCTGAGGAGGAGTTTTGACTTTTATTTCCCTGGTTAGTGGGGTGCCTTCAGTGTGTTTTTAATGGAGTGGGACTGCAGAGGGTAGGCAGGGGTGGGACAAGACTGGAGACTGGTGAGGAAGCTGTTTGGTGGAGCCTGGGTGTGCAGTGGTCAGGACTGGAACTGCAGGTGGTGGTGGTGAGGTGGGATGGGGAGGAGAAGAGGGTTTTAGAGAGATGGATGGTGGACTCCCTATATTTAGCAACTGCTGGGATGGGGGAAATAAGAAAATGGGCTATGTTGACATCTAGGATCATGAGAGAAGACTTCTTGTCTAGTAAGGGCAGTGGTAATGAACTGGAAGAGAACCTAGAAATCAGGTCAATTTCCTCATTTTAGAATGAGAAAGTTGAGACCTTGAAAGGTTGTGATTTGCCCTGGGTTAATCAGCTGTAATTTTTTTTTTAATGGGTCAGTTAGAACACAAATTATTAGGTCAGTACTCATTCAGTCTCGGCATACTTAACAACTATAAATTGGCACTTATTTTATTCTTTTGAACTTGAACTCTTCTGGCAGGACATAGCATAACTAAGTTGTCATTTGCCATTGTTCCTTTTATGTAAAAGCTAGAGCAAT